CGAATGTCGAAAATTTCCAAGAAGCCAACGCATAACTCGGGAACCAATAGAGTTACAGCGCCGCGGAAAAGCGCATTCGATAGCCCTATTAACGCCCTTTCTGAGTAATTTTCTCAGATTTGACCTAACGTCAACGGTTTTGCCTGCAGGGGGCAAAAACTGCAAAAATAGCCGATTTTTTCGGAAACAGTTTTTCTGCAATAACTTTTGACCCAAGCAATGTACGAGCTTACTTTTACCGGCATCGTGTTCCTCTCGTCAAGACGCATCGAACGAACTATAATTTGACCTTGAAAGGTCAACTTGAAAATTTGACCTCAGGTCAAGGTCATGACCTGACCGGAAAGGGTCATGTTGCATATCAGTCGATCCGTATCGTCGAGCTGAACACATCTAAGGCGTTTTCATCGCTCTAGCATGCCTCTATCAAAAGTTATTTGCGAAAAACTGTTAGATACCATTCGTGACCTAAGATGACCTCAGGGCATAAACAGGGGTCACAGACACCATTTTCATGTTCAGTGTGTCTAAACCACTTGTAATTCAGTGTTTGGGAGTTTTTATAATGTCTTTCGTCCAAAACAGGCGCATTTCAATTTTCTCCCATTGACTTATAATGGTGAGGTCGCAAAATTGACCTGACCTTAGGTCATCGATATCAAAATTCTGAGATATACATTTTGTACATGCTAATGCTCTTAGCAATCGCTGAAAGTTTCAAAGCGATCGGTCACTCGGTGTAGCTATGACAGACATTGAAACTTTTTATGAGGTGAGGTCACTTCGAGTGACCTGGTGACCTGACCTTGAATGACCTTGGTCTGAAATTTTCACAACATGTGTAGAATTGATGTATGATAAGGTGTACCAAAAACGGCGGCGCTCCGCGCCGCCGTTTTTGAGATATTCGCGAAAAACCACAGGGGGGGGGGGTGTTCAAACACCCCCCCAGCAGGGCGCGGGTTAAATAGTTAGATGATGAGCTGATTAGTTTCCGTTTCTATTAGCTGCCTTGGTTGCTGTAGTGAACACGGCTGGGCCCAGCGCTCTCTCTACGCGTATACCCTCTCAGAGTTGGTGGGAACTTTGCTGATTGCTTGCTGCCGAGCCGGCTCCAAACACGATGATGCGTGCACGTCTGTGTTCGGGTAACTATTGGAGTGCTTATTTCACGAAGCAGAGCAAAAAGTGATGGCAACAAATGGACTTACAGGCTCCGCAAGAGGTCATTTGGCCTCTAAGCTGAGCTTATTTCGTTGGTTGACTGTTATAGGTACTTATGCTAACGCAATTACTGCAACAAAAGATAATGTGTCTTCGATGTTCACTGAGCCAGGCTCAGTGAGTCTTTCATCGCTATATACAAACGGAATGAGAGCGTGCTTTGGTACAATGCAAATGGCGGGCTGTATCAATTGGCACCTCTGGGCTGGCTGGTCTTATTTAGCTTCATCGACCAGCATAACCATGCAATAAATTTGTGTCCATCGCATTAAACATTAGGTTTGCTGAAATGGCCGGCATCTGTCATACCTTTCGAATGTAATGATTTAATGACGCCTAAATGCAACCATATGGGCACATTTATTTGCATTATGGGTCTATTGTAATCACTTAAGTTTCAAACGTTCGGCACAGTCGGGAGCCTGTTAAAATAAGCCGTCATTTGAAATGAATTAATCACATAAATCAATGCGCCGGAAAATTATTTTCTTTATATTTGATATTAGTGGCATATTTTGCGCTAGGTTATGCTATAAAGATATTTGATTTGGAAGATCTATCAATATAAATGACAGCCTGAATTTCTTCACAGGTAATGTATGTAGATAAAGTGAACAACAACTAAAGTTACTTTTATCCCAGTCCCAGCTGTTGTTGTTGTTGTGTTCCCCTCGGCCCCGTCACCGGGGCGTAGTCGTTCGGCTCTGGAAGGACCGAACCCAGTCCTTCTAGAGCCGAAGGACCCAGTATCCCAGTCCCAGCTTGTCCAGCTTGTCGGCTGAATCTCAATACTGAGCCGTTCATTTCTGGCGCGCTCATGCACCGTTACATCATACATTGGTCAGGTCATCCAACATCCAAAAGAGCTGCCTAAACGGAAATGATCAGCCTTTTTGACGGTGCAGCGCGTATTCATTTGCCGGAGACACATTTTATATGCCATTCTACAGTTTTCCTATCCCCAAGCGGACGGAAATGTTTCAACGTTCCGGCGATAGGAGAGCCACGTTAATTAGCATACCCTCACGATTGGACGATTTCTAGACAAGTGTCCGCCGACTCCTGTGTGATCTGATATGCGATAGACCTCCACAGTGGCATTGACACGTGGCATTGACTGTTTGCCACGTGGCTTCTCGTGGCAGGTCACGTGGTCGGCGCCGCCTTACGGGGACGAAGAATGTGGAGTGGCCCACCGATACGCCGCTAGATTTTGTCAAACAGGCCGACCTTGCTAGGACGGCCGCGGGTCTAATAAGGTAGTCCTTGTCATTAATAGCGGTGTGATATCTCTCGGAACACGCTGTCATTTTTTTAGCCGAATGTCCTGGACCCGTATTTTGTCAAATTTTGTCAAACACTCCGACCTTGCCGGGTTATAAAGTAGTCCGTGTTGTCATTAATAGTGGTGGACAAGTACCGGACCCGGCTGTCATTTTTTGGGTGGATAAGACGTGACATTTGCCAGGTGTTGGTCTGTCATATTGGTGATTTAATGTCCCATGGATATTGATGGTGAACACGGGATGGGGAAGTTGGATCGGTTTATTATTGTATCGGGGTGTTGCGTCGGTGAGCCGGTGAGGCTGGCCTCATCAAAATTGCATTGCACGCTGCGAAACTGAGCGAGAACAGCGTCAGTTGTTCCTAGTTTCATCGGCCTTGAGCAAAAAAGTGAGGGTCAACGCCATCTATTATTTTGACTGGAAGTGTATATTGCATATGTGAGGATGGAAGACATGGACTGATAAAAAACATGGCTTATTGGCTAGTGACCAGAGGACATTTGTAACCCCTATCTTTGAGGTAATATGCTACAAATGTTATGGACAAGGCGTCAAGTACCAGGTAAATGTAGTCATGAACACGTTGATGAGGTTGACGGAAAATGTGCGCTACTTGGTGTAATTGAGGACATTTCCCTATCACTTAATTACGCATTTACAACTCAGCACATTATCAGGTGACACGACGACCTGCACGCGATGTCAGAGCGATTGTAAGGCCACTCGTCGCTCCATGGCTCAAAGGAAAATCCGTCCTGTCATGGCCTCGCCCTCAGCTCACAGCCAAAAGGGATCTGTGTCAACGCCAATGTCGCATGCCGGTGCGACTGAGTACGTTGACAGACTAAACTAAAAGGCGGCAGTGTTCGGACATGGATAGAGCTGCAATTGAACCATAGCCATCCGCACACTATGATATAGTTAGGTACAGCTAACTGGCAACAATCTCTGTTACCCTTCAGGAACATGTCGCTCGAGCAAAAACCTGATTTATATATGACCAGCCACGACTAGAGGGAAGTTTAGCTTCTTGATAAAGGCGTTTTTTTTTTGTCAATCTTTGCGCCATAGAATTATGGGTATTGGGCAAAACAGCGAAGGATGTTGAATCTAGTAAATCAAAAGTCAGACAATAAATACTGCCAATAATGCTGGGGTTGAGCCATGCATCTTGCATAATCAAAGGAACTTAAGGTCTAGGCAATGGTTAAATAATTGAGTTACTTTGTTTATAACATTGATTTTAGATTAACCTGCATTGTAAAAGCAATCAAGTGCATAATTATAAAGCAAAACTTCTCGCCATCCGAACATTCCGAAACTTTCAATCGCAATTTTTTAATAATGTAAATGTAAAAAAGACATGAGGACGAACAGATATAAAATTGAGTTCTAAAAGCTCTTTCACATTTTTAAGTTCTAGGGATGAGAATATATATTTGTAACAGGCCTTTGGTGTAAAATGGCCCTGTTTCTGATGAGCAGATATTTATGAGACGCCATAATTGAACCAAATTATTCAATAGATTTGGCTTATACACCAAACCTGCATTAGTGAACATTGCGTCATTGTTTTGTCTGTGTATAAAAAACAATTAGCGTCTTTGATTTGCTGACATCACACGTAAATACAGAAGTCTTCATATTAAAATATAATTAGGATCGGGTTCTGCATCAGATTCGACCTCAGATCCATCATAGAAAAGGTCACAGTACCTGAGTATTTAGTTGTAGCGATGACGGCTTCACATAAACAGACCAAAGTGATGGACCAGAGTGGTGACCAAAGTGATGAAGTCGGCTGTACACGGCCACTGTTTATTCAGCGGGGCCTCCACCGGCGCAAGTGTGCAGCCCTTCTGTGTCAGGGTCTAATGTCGGATCGAAAATTACCGGTGCCCACATTTGCCGCCAAATTGCGCACTTTTCGTCATTACTGCGCGACTGAATGGATTGGTTATCATGGACCAGTGCCCACTTAGCATCGAAATAGCCTCTCAATGACCATTGCAATAGCAGGGTGCAGGGAGCTATTGTAGAATGGCTATTTCAAATGTGAATTGTGATGTGCATTGGGTTTAGTCGTAGGCGGTTAGGAAAATGGGCTGGTGCAGCTTCATGAAAAGCCATTTAAGAGCATAACCTTTACGAACATACCTATCCGATCAACGGCAACGAAAACTCTAATATGCTCTAAAATTAAGTTTTATAATATAAAAAAGTAAATTGGGCAGCAGTGAACCCAGATATGAGCATTATGGACGGCTTTCTTCAAGGGATTTGACTATCCAAGCCCCCATAACCTTGGGTACATACATGCCACTTTCCATTTTAGGATGTAAATACCGTCATGACTCATGAGTTATGCGTCAAACCCACCCCGCTTTTAATTCCTATCATATACCACGATATGTCACTATTTAGTGGTCCGTATCCCCGCGCCGCGGTCTGCATCTTCTCTCCGTCGGTAGCGTAGTCTCTCAAACCCACCGTTTCTGCCGCTCCTCCGCTCCTTGTTCCGTAATTCTCAGCGATGTCCTCCCGGGACTCCACCACAGTCACCTCTGCGCGGTCTCTCAGCAGCACGGTCGGCCCACCTGGCTCGCCTGAGCGTCACGGCAACACTGAGGCCCTCCTCGGCACGCCGCCGGCCGCGAGGCGTGCACCCGGACCGTCCGTCGCCCTGGCGTACCCCGCCGCCCGCCCCGCGACCCGGCGGGGTGCCACTGCATACGCCGGGAGGGTGTTGCATGGGGGGGGAGGGGTCCACACAGCTGTGGCGCCGCAGCGAGGCAGACTGGTGAAGCTCAAACTAGGCAGGTAAGGGGATGAGACGGCTGCACTAGAAACCATCCAACAGTCGTCATTCATGGGATCAGGCGATTGTCCGTCACCAACCGTCACCAATCGTCACCAGCTCGCTCGTCTATCACCACACCAGCCGTCATCGGCCTGTAGCTTCCCTTCATCAGACGTCAGCCAGCAGCGCACTGTCCTGTCACCAGCCACCTCGGCTCAGAAACCGCGGCAATCAGCAGTCATCAGTGGCTTAGTCTTGTCAGTTGTCACCAACCGTCAGCAACCACTAGTCCATTAGGTCCCCATCACCAGTCGTCACCAGCCGTCACCAGTCACCAATGCCACGCATGCCGCTGCAATCGGAGGAATCTTGCGCCGGCTGGGCGTGACATGAATCCGCTGAGTGCTTTCTGGGATACTGAGGAGCGCTGGATGACAGAGTGTCGCAGGCAGAGCCGCCGGAATTGGAAACCATTTACCCGACAGAGCTGCAGGATGAAGCGGTGAGCTCATTGGCCATCCAATAAATGTCCTTTTGTTGCAGCCTTCCGATGATTTCAGTTGTAAAGATGACATCGACTACCTTGTGAGTTTTTGCTAATCCCGGTTTGCGAAGACGCATTATTAACCCGCGCCCCACTGGGGTCTGTGTATAACACGCCCTACTGGGGGGGGCTATTCATAGCCCCCCCTCCTAACTCCGAAACTACTGGGCCGATCGTCAAAATTCAAACGGCGTCTGATAGCCCCGGAAAAACTGTCGAGCGAAACCTAATTTCATTGACCTCGAGGTCACCGATGACGTCACAGGTCAGGTCAAAGTAAAAATTATTAGCACTTTGGCTTGTTCACATTTTGGGCTCTGGCCGCCGTCTTACAAGTCAGATCAGGCTCATTTTTGGTTTCCACACTCGTGAACAGATGCTCTAGATACCTTGAGGGTACCAAACTTGTACTTTGATTTTCAGGTCAGGGTCAGGTCATCACAGGTCACGAAAATATTATATCATGCGTCGGTCACGTGACACATGTTTTATGGTCCATTTAGGCCATAGATTTCGAATTTGATGTCGTCTTTGTCATTCGAGGTCATTTTGAGTCGAATTTAGCTTAGGTCAGGTCACTTTCAGGTCAAAAAAGGTCAAATTTTGAAGTTGAAATTTTTCAACAAAAAAGGTGTCTATTGGATGCAGTTTGAGCTCAGGAACACGATGGTGCCATTTATGTTGGTGTACGATGCAAAATACGTACTGAAAAATTGATTTGAAAAATTAATAATTGTGAATTTTTTGCAATAATGCGTATAACTTGGCCATTTTTGAAGATATTTAGCTAAAACTTGCTAGAGTTAGTCATAATCATGCGTTCTGTCACATATATTCCGGTTTTTTCGAAAAGTCAAAAACTTTTTGAAAAGAATATGAAAATATAAATTTTGAATATTATTATATAAAATTTTCGAAATTTTCAAAATTTTGAAAATCCGAGATAGCAGTTTGATAGCGCGGTCAATTTTGAGTTCTTTCATGCAAAGAAATTGGATCTAGCTTAAAAACTGAGCTCTTGGGAGCGATTGCCGTGGTTCAATGTTTTGCGTCGAAATCGGACGAACATGACGTCACTCTGACGTCATTTCCGGCCGACCTATGGTAGCTACGAAGTTCAAATTTTGACACAAGGTGTCAAATTGATGCAGCCGAAGGTACTGAAAGTTTGGCGTCGATCCGTCAAGCGGTTTGGAAGTTATTGCAGAAAAACGGGAGGGGGGGCTATAAATAGCCCCCCCCCAGTGGGGCGCGGGTTAAGCTACCTTCTTATGGTTGTAGAAGTTTTTGTGGTCAAGTGCAGCCGTAACCGAAGGTTTGTTGTCAATAGTTAAAACACTATTCTTTAGAATTGTGTTTTTCTATTGAAAAACAAATCTGAGTTCCCTGACAATTTGGCAAAAGCTGCCTGAGATCAGTACAACTTGATGCTCTTGAAAACGGCTGCTCCAAAAATTCTGATTTTTTCAGGATTTCTAGTGGGCCAGGTGATCTACGTTCTGGTATGGGTCTCCCCTCCGCGGACCATCTGGTGCACGTGCCACGTGACTTTGAAAATTCCCGTGTTAAGCCAATGGGCAAAATGAAAAAATGCGTTCCACGGCAGATTGCTCGAAAACGATCCAAACGACCCCCCATTTTCTTACATGCAGATCAACCACCATTCGGTGCACTACCCATGGGTATGTCGCAAAGTGGCCGGAAAAGTCCAGAACCACGTGCCACGTGCCGTTGAAAATGACCCTGCACACCGGAAATTGGGACTTTTGGTCATTTCGGCGCACCCATGATGCATACTATGGCGTGGGTGACCAAACAATGGGTGTCATCCGGTCGGCAACTGTTTAAGGTGTCGTCCAGTGGGCCAAAGTGGTAGTTTCAAACTTTTGGGATCCACCATTCTGGGGATTCTTTTTGACAATATACTTACGTTTCTTGGCGCAATGTTCATTCCACCCAGCCGGTCGTCAATGCGTTAGATGACCCAAATGACGATTGACCTGAAGGAAGTTGGGGGCGAGGAACACGCACGTGCCATCCGTTTTTTAATCGGGCGCTTTCATCTAGGAGATTTTTGCAGATACGTCAATGCGTTAGATGACCCAAATGACGATTGACCTGAAGGAAGTTGGGGGCGAGGAACACACACGTGCCATCCGTTTTTTAATCGGGCGCTTTCATCTAGGAGATTTTTGCAGATATCTTTTTGATTTGTGAAAATGACCAGCCTAGCGGTATGCCAGCCGCTGATAAATTATTATCTTGCTGCGGCCGGGCGCTTATTTGCGGTGTTTGCGTTTGGCGGCTGGCGGGCGACTTTTAGTCGTTTTCGGTTAGCAGTTAGCGTCAGTGCGGTGCGGGCGGTTTTATTTTTTCGGCGTTTCGGCGTTTTTTTTCTGTGTGGTTTGCGGCGGTCGGGTGATTTTTTTGCCGTTTGCGTTGGCTTTTCGGGCGTGCGTTTTACACGTTTTGCGGTGTTTACGTTTTGCGGCGGGCGGGCGTTTTGTGTTTTTTGCGGTGTTTGTCTTTGGCGCCGGGCGGGCGGGCGGGCGATGCGGGCGGTTTTCTTTTTTTTGCGTCGTTTGCGGTGTTAAATTTGTTTGCGGTTGGCGGCCGCTTTTTCGTTTTTTTTTGCGGTGCTTTTTTTTTGGCGGCGGGCGGGCGATTTTCAGGCGTTTTCGGTTGGCGGTTAGCGGGCGTGCGATGCGGGCGGTTTTATTGTTTTGCGGCGTTTTTGCGTTTTTTTTTATTTGCGGTTTGCGGCGGGCGTTTGTTTATTTTTTGCGACCTTTGCGTTGGCGTTTCGGGCGTGCGTTTTGCGGTGTTTGCGTTTTGCGGCGGGCGGGCGTTTTTCACAATTCAAAGTTCAAACCTTCGGGCCACAGCGCTCCTCGAAAAGCGCTGCCCTCGTATGATGTAATAGTCAATCTACGTCGATAACGATTCGATGTAAATCCAGAAGCATCAACTCTCATAAGAACCAAACACATTACTTGATTTTTATGTTAATGCATCTCCATACCGGTCACGGAGCGGAAAAGTTATGTTTTCATCTGATGTCGTCGTTGTCAGCGGTAGAGTAAGAAATGTCGCAGTGACAGCTATGGCGCATTAATCCTCGTGGCCTAAGTCATAAACCAGTTTGACGGATAGTCGCCCTTGACGGTCGGCGCCTCGGTTGCGCCTACAACTTTGCCGTAGCTCCATAGTTCCATGCGTAACTATTCGCAACTGAGCGGCCGGTTAATGCCAACAGTCAACATTTTTTAAGAGATAAGCAATAACCGTGACCATTATAATCAATCACTGATTATAAAATATAGGTCCACATGAATTTGCAATCGGTTCATTCAGCCGGCCATCAGCGCGCGAGTCAACACTCCCCAAATCTGACATCGACTAGGGCTTTCCCATGGAATGTAAAATGTGGTTATATCACACTGAAATCCATTCTTTACCTCCTCCTCGCCACACACACACAGCCCCTTACTAAGGACAGGTGGGCGTTCGATACCCCTATCAGCATACGGCACAGCTGCGTAGTGCACGTAACACTGTCGACGGCGAGACATCGCACAAAACAGGCGACCCCGGCCGTGTACCAAATACCAAACAAGTGTCCTGTTCGAGGTCTCCGCGTCACGTTACATCGTCACGTCACACCGTCACAGTCACGTCAAAAAGTCACGTGACCATCCCCCCACCAACCCCACTGACGCGACGGGTCGACGGCGTGACGTCACAATAGAGAGGCCGGCCGGTCGACTCGACGGCCAATTTAGGCTCGTTGGCCGGGAACTGGCCTTAATTGGATGTGGGAATTGTCGCGTGTGCGTGAACCACCGCCAGAGTTCGTGATATAAATGCCAACGGGAGTATGGGTTTGGAGAAAACTACGACACAATTTCGAGGCAACCGACATACAAGACACGAATGGATGATTTTCAAAATACACGATGCCCGATGCACGTATCAAGTGATCTGACTGTTTCAATCTGAGTTGCTAGAATAACGACTTATTAGGAGTAAACCTCCGTCAAGAGACGTTTGTTTGATGCTTATAAGCCATTCATTATACTCGTATGGTCATAACCCATCGACCAAATACACACTGGACGACTCCTCACCCAAATCAGAATCTCAACGAGTCTAACATCCGAAAAAAGCTAGGCATTAAACCCTTACCACACGATTTCATGTCCCCACCCAGCGGCAACAGTCGAGCAACATTACAACATAACACCCGCATTACAGGACAGTAAACATTTCATTGGCGCTCACAGCCCGTGATATAAATTCCGAGACATCTCCTAGGCGGCTGGGCGCGGTACTCTATTGCATCTCGGGCCGCACCGCCCGTGATTTGTGGCCTGCAAGCAGTCATGCCATGGGACAAAATGAATTCAGGAAGGACCTATTGCAAAATGATCCATCACAGCCGTGATCAATTTGGACATGTCGAAATAACTCTTGAGTGAAACGTACCAAAGCAATAATTTAGGTTTGGGCCATTTGCTTTCGTCGAAAGGATCCGCTCTCATGTTAGCCAAATAGGATGTGGCGTCGTACTTCCTAGTTTACGATGATAAAATGCAAAAAAGGCACAACATATGCTTTAACAAGATAACACTTGCAATTGTATGCAAATATAATTATCGGCATGGTTGCATTTAAAATTTGAATGACGAGCTTATCCTCAAATTAAAGCTTCATTGTTTTCTAAAGACATTGTTTATCATTAATAACAAACATATTGCAAGGTAGCGCATCCAAATAAGTATAAACCGCATTAATAACCGCAAGTTTGGGCAGATACTTATACCGTCACTGTTCTTTCCGCAATTCAGAAAGGCTCATGTGGTCAGTGAAATCGGC